CGCAGGAGAATATTAATTATAAGCTAAATTATATAAATAAAACAGAGAATATAATACTAACTTTAAATAATTTTTAAAAAATTAGAATTAATTAAAATATTATAAAACTAAGTACTCTAGCTAAGTTAAGTTTAAAATTTAGCTAAGATTATATTAAATATTATATTATTATTACTAGTATTATCAATTATTATATCTAATAATTAATAGATAAAATTATATTTATATAAGACTAATAAAATAATTATAGCTAGATTCTTATTAATATAAGATTTAAATATTAATTAAAAATCTAGTAAAATCTTATAATAATCTATATCTTTTATTAAAAAATATCTAATTAAATTAAAAAATACTTTCTAATCAGAGCTAATTTAGTAGTCTATTATAATTAATATTTATTTAATATTTAGAAACTTTAATAGCAGTTATATATATATCTTTTTAGATAGTTTTATAAGATATTCTTTAATTTATATTTAATTAAAAAAACTTAATTTTCAGCAGAAAAATAAAGCAGTAAGATTAATTATTTATTTAAATTAAATATATTTAATAATTCAGAATAATAAATAATAAATAATTATAAAATATAGAATTTAATTCTAAAAATCTTATTTATTATAAATTATAAAGATCTAGAGAAAAATAATAATTAGAAAAGATTTATCTTAAAAAAATAAATAAATATCTATAATAATTTTTTACTTAGTATCTGATTAATTATTTATTTAAATATAATTAATAATAATTTCTTCTTATAATTCTTGCAGAGATAATAGCTTATAAAACTAGTTTCTAAGTTTTTAATTCTCAGATATTATAAGATATAAAAATATATAATATAATAGATATAAAAAATTTTATTAAAAAATAATATATTTTTCTGAAAGCTATTCTATATTATTAATAATTTTTTTTAATTAAAATAAAATAGCAGTTTTTTAATTTATATATAATTTTTAAAAAAATTATCTTCTATTACTAATTCTAAAAAATAAAAAGTTTTTTTTAAAAAACTAAATATAAAATAATCTTCTGATTTCTCGCAACGCGTGTAATCTTAAGATTTAAAAAAAAAAAAAAAATCTGACTTAAAAAGCTTATCTTAGTTTAAGTATTACTATAATTTATAAAAATCTAAGAAATAAAAAAAAAAAACTTAATAATATTTTTTAAAAATAAATTAAATAATTATAATTAACTTATAATTCTAAAGCTATTCTATAAATAATAAATATAGAAAAATAAAAGTAGAAAACTTTATAAAAATAATTTATTTTATTTTAAGATATAACTTTATATAAATATAATTTATTATATTTTAATATATAGCTAAGGCGCCCACTATATTTTATTTATTTTAATAAATTTAATAAATAAAAATTTATATCTAGAGTCTAGAGTTATAAAATAATTTCTTTTTTTAAATAAAATTACTTAAGATATAATAGACTAGAGTAAAAAATAGATATTTATAAAAAAAATTTATAAAAAACTTTTATAGAATCTTCTATAAGAGTTATAATATTATAATATAAATTTAATATACTCTGTTTATCTATTTTATTTATTTAATTTATTTAATCTATTTAATCTGTTTAATCTATTTAATCTATTTTATTTTAATAATTTAATTATCTATAATCTTCTTAACTATCTGCTAGTTTCTAATTTTATTAATAGCTCTTTGAGCTATATCTTATTTATAAATCTAAAAATAGTCTGATTCAGAAGAAATAATAGAATAAAAATAGTATATTTATTCTTAATATTTTAATTAATAATTAATATATAATTTTTCTAGTATTTTATAATATAATTAAAATATACAGCTAAAATAAAGCAATAATTATATATTTTTATATATATTTTTTATTATAAAAATAATAATTTTATAAAAAGCTAAATTTTATTAATATAACTAGAATTTTCTTATTATTTTTAATAAATAATAATAAAAAAGATACTAATTTCTTTTTTAATTATATTTTTTTAATTTAAAAAGCTTCTTTTTATATACTTTTAAATAATAATAAAGATAGTTAGATTAATAATTATTTAATCTAAATATATCTTAATTATATTAGAGCTTAAAAAAATATAGCAGATAGATCTTAGTATTAAGAATAATTAAAATAATTAATTATCCAGTTTTTAGTTATATTATAGTTAGATATAAAAATTTTCTTAATTTAATTATAATCTGGCGGTTAGATATAAAAATTCTAATTAACCTGACCTGACCTGGCCGTTAGCCACTCTAGCAGAAACTTTAAATTAAGATCTTAAATAATATTATTAAATATATATAAAAAATAATAATAAAAGTTTTAAAATTTTTTTTAATATTTTAAAAATTTTTAAGAAAATATATTCTAGAAGCTATCTATAAAAAATTAATATAGAATTTTTTTTTATAAAAAATTTCTAGAAATCTTCTACTAGCTAGTTTATTATATTAATTTTTAATTATAAATTTAAAAGATTATATAATTTATAAATATAAATTTTTAATATTATAAGAAGTTTTTATTTATTTAATAACTTAAATCTAGCTTAATTTATTATTTTTTTTTTAATTATAAAATTTATTAAAACTTAATTTATCTTATGATTTATTAAATATTTAATTTTTATTAAATAATTAAAAGTTTTATTTAATACTGTAAGTATAATAATATTAATTATTTTTATTTTATTATAATTAAATAAAAATAGATAAAATATTTTTTTAAATTTTTATATTTTTTTTTTATTTTCTATCTCTCTAAGAATAATAGATCTATTATTTATAAAATTTATAATATTTATAATAATTTTTTTAATTATCTAGATTACTTAATTAACAGACTGAAAAGAAAGTAGATATTTTAAAAAAAAATTCTTAAAAATTTATATAATATATATTAAAAGCTCTGAAAGTATTATTATTATATTTATTAAATAAAAAACTATATTTATATAATTATAACTATTCTAAATCTAATATTAAAGCTTAAGAAATTTAAGAAAGATATATAATTAAATAATAATATTAACTAATATTATAAATATTAAATTATCTTTAAGAAAATATTCTTTTTTTATTTTAGTTAGAATCTAATAATTAATATATTATTAATAATCTTCAGATTATTATCAGATTTAAATAAGATTTTTTATAATATTTTTTAATATTAAAGACTTTTATTTATAATTAAGATATATAAAGAATTTAAAATATATCTAGATATTAAAAATATATAATTTTTTAAAATATCTTTAATTAAATTAATATAATTCTAGATACTATAGAATATATTAATATTTTTATTTATTAAAAATCTTATTATAATTAGTTTTCTATTTTTTATCAGATAATTAAAGATTTTCTCTTAATTATAATTAATAATATTAGTATTAAATATCTTTTTAAGAATTTTTAAGATATTTATTATTATTATCAAAGCTGTTTTTATTTTAATATAATTAAAATAATTATACTTTAAATATATATTAATTATTTTATTATAAATAAGAAATATTAGAATATATTTAATAATTTTAATTCAGATTTAATTATTTTTATATTTAAAAAATAAAAAAAAAATAAGATAATTACTATCTTCTATATTAATAAGAATAAAAATATAAATAATCTTAAAAATAATTCAGAGAATAGATTATTATTAGAATTAAAAAAACTAGTTTTATCTAAGTCTTTAATTATTATATATATTTAAATAAAAATAAAAATCTAGTTTTTATAATTTCTATATTATTATAATTATTATTCTAAATAATATAAAGAATAAATATTCTATATTTTTTCTTATTTTTTTTATACTAGATTTTATAAAAGTCTTTTTTAAAATATAATATATTTTTTAAAATAACTGATTAAATAGATTAAGTAGTAAACTATTTTTAAAAAATATTATTATATTTATATTATAATTAAATATATATTATATTTTATATATTATCTATATAAAAAAATATATATATTATAAATTAATCTATAATTATTAATCTATTTATTATATTTGATTTTTCTGATTAATAGATATAAATAATTATAATAATAATTATATCTTAATCTAATCTTAATTATATAGTTAAAATTTTTTTATATCTTAATTTAATTATTAGATTATGGCCAGATTAAGATTAAGATATAACAGTGTGATAGGATCTACTTGTCAGGGTAGAAAGCCTGTCGACTAGGTAAGGAATCAACCATAAAACACTGTGTATTCGTTTGATAATAACAAAGATAGTCTATATTTATAAGATAGACTGATTCTTAAAGGATCAGTAGCTTCTTACAGAGAGATTAATATTTTATAGATATCAGAGAGATATAGAATTACTATTAATAATCTTACAACTCTTATAATCACTATAATATATTATCCTGATAATATGACTCTTATAATTACTATAATATATCATCCTAATAATCTTTATTCCAATAGCTGATTTATTTTATTATAAATAGTGCTCTTCTCTGCTGGGACAAGCTATCTAGCTTAGATATTAGGAATAGTTTTATATATTTCTGATTCAGAACAGTAAGAATTCGATAGCAAAAGATAGAAAACTCGCGGGATATATAATATAAATAGAGTTATATGCTGTTTCTGTATAGTTTTATAAATATTTAATTATATTTATATAAATGGATCCCCTGCGAAGAAGTATAAATAAAAGAATTTTTTATATTATATTTATATAGATAAATCCCCTGCGAAGAAGTATAAATAAAAGAATCTCTTATATTACTTCTCTTTCTTCTTCTCTTCTATTTTATAATTATTATTTCTTTAATGGTTTGTAATCGTTCTCTTTATATTTCTTTATTATTTCGCGTGATTTTTGTTATTTCTATCTATACTGTATCGCTGTTATTCCCTTCTTTGTTAGATATCAGTCTTGTTCTTGATTACTTTATAATAATAAAGAGAACAGTATATTTCAAGCAAAATATTCTTATTAAAGCCCGCTATAACTTCTGCATACACTGTCTAAGATATATAAATAATAACTTTGATTCTAAGAAAAGCACTCTGTATAATATTAGTTATTTATTAAATATAAAGATATCTGTTCTGTGTTATTTCTATTCCGCGAGAAAAAAGACTTATAATTCTATAGATTTTGCATACTCTGTATTATATATATATAATTTATTAATATTTCTCGAGCCTGCAACTGGTCTGCTAAAAAACACTCGCAATTTTATAAAAATTATTAAATAGACCACTCTGATTCTGAAGAAAAAATATTAGAATAGTAATATTAAATAGACTATCTATGAAGAGATCTATATTCTTGCGAAGATATTTAACAGTATAGAGAGTATTTATACTTATAAATTCTTATTAAAGAATATCAAGATTATCAAGCATGTAAGTTCTTATTATAATTAAGAAATAAGATCTTTGTGATTCTATTGTTAATATTCTGTTAGAAATTTATTATCAAGTATATTAAGTTTATTAAGACCCATCATATTTTTTTAACATAGTTAATTCTTTATTCTGGCCTCCGCGCCTTGCTGAAGAATTATTATATTTATAAAACAAAAATATTATTATATTTACTGCCTAATAATCTGAAATATATAGGCTGGATTTCTGCTCTGCGGAATTTTCTTAATTTAATAAGAGCTATAGTATATATTCAATATCTGGATATTAATAATAATAAATTGACTTCGGATAATAAGAATAATATTATTAAATTAATCACAAATCCTTATATTCTTCTTCTGAAGTCTACTTTCCCCGTGAATATTTCTGAGTTATAATAAAAAGGCCTGATTATTATTATTATTTATCTTATAAATAAATAATAAATATAACTAAATATATTTGGGCGTCTTCTGCTGTCTTATAACAGAATGATTTTATATCTATTAGTATATTTAATCCGCGATAATATAATTAATAAGAAATATCAAGAGATTGATATTTCTGTAGCTTATTTCTTAAGAATATAGAGTAATTTACTAGTAATTATCTTCTGTTTTCTTAATATATAATACTTCTTATAATATTTTCAGTATTACTTTATAGCTTCGGGTATATTTTTTATATTTTTACTAGAAATCTATTAATTGTACTTGCTCGGCTATTCTTTTTACTTAATTAGATAGTAATTCTAACTGTCATAGTATTAATAGTCTTTGACTTCTTTAATTTTCTATTTATCTTTATTATCTAGCTCAGGTATCAGGAGCGGTTCTTTATAATCTCTTTTAGTATTCTATAATTTTAATAAGAAAATATAAAATATATTATAAATTTGTCTATATTTCTCAGATAAACATAATCAATATATCTAAGATCTGATATATTTAAGAATCTGAAAAAATTCTATAAATTTTAAAGCCAGCTTTCTCAATTCTTTAAGTTATAAGTTCTGAGTTAATAGCTTAATTAGATTTCTTTCTTTGAAATAGAATAGCTTTCTGCGCTTATTATAATATTTTTTTTGCTTTTCTATAGCTATTTGCCATATCTTTTATAGTTATTCTCTTATTTCTCTAAGTTTCTTAATTTTATTCTATACTGCTGGGACTTCTTGCTACTGAGAATTAATCTTAATTTTAATATAAAAATCCGGCGAAAAGCTATAAAAAATATTATAAAATAATTAGCCTGTGATTATATTATCTGTGTTATTGCAGGTAAATTAAGCACTTGAAAGAATTAATAGCCAGTTAATATTATACTGACTAGAGTAATATCAGAGATAATATTCAAGTATTTAATTTATCTATTCTGTTTAATTATCAGTTTAAGAATAAAATACAATCAAAAGCTTTAAGATTATATAGCTATTATAGACTAAATTTAATTAGAATTTACTAATAAAGATTAATTCTTGATCAGATATAATTCTATTTAAGAGTCCGAAGATTAATTTAATCTGTTTATAGAATAGTTTGATAAGATCTGAGATAGTTATTGTGGACAGAATAGCAAAGAAAAGACAGTATTTTAAGAATTAATTAATAATAACTAGAATAGTATTAATAGTTTTTCTATATTAAACAATAAAGAGCAGCCCTGTAATAAAATCTATTACTAATTCAGCAAAGAGATATAATAAAATTAATAATAATTTAAGACTATTATATAATTAATACTTTGAAGCAGTGATTTTTTAATATATTAAATAAGTTTAGATATATTCAGCTATATTATACTATAATCTATTTCAGTGAAATTTTTTATATAGCAGTGCTTCTGTTTAAATCTTTTTGAAGTATTCTGCTAATAGATTATTATAATATAGCTTAATAAGTATCTGATATAGTATCTCAGAAGAGAGAATATAGTATTAATCTTTAAAACAGATATAATCAGTTATTTTAATAATTTAATACTTTTGATCTGATTGCTTTTATTAAACAGTAGTTTTTTATTATTATATCTCTGGATTATTATTCTATAAATACAAGATTATTTCTTAAAGTTTAGAATTATATATATTCAAGTATAAAACTTCCGCGGTATATACTTATAATACTGTAGATTAAGAAATAAATCTTTCTTAAAATAAGTTTTCTTAAGCAGCCCAGTCAGCTGTCTTTATATTAGCTTGATTATTAGAATTCTTTGAGCTCAACACAATACAGATATTAAATTCAGAATAATCTTATATATCTTAAGATTTAAACTGGGTTTTTTTTTTAATAAGATCTTTTATTATCAGAGATAATACACCCACAAATCATACTTAAATTAGAGTCAACAGTTTCTCTTGAGAAGCAGGTTTTATTTAAAATTTAGAAGATATTCTGAAGAATCTATCTGCTGAATTTAATTTCTCTGTTTTATATTTAATAATAAAATTATAGAGAATTAGATTTATAAGCTATTAAGCTTGTCTCTTATTAATCCGGGTTTGATATATAAAAGATTATAAGTTTGAATAATCTGATAGAATCTTAATTATTTAAAAAGCATCTTCTAAATATTATTACTATTATTTAAAAGAGTAAATAATAGCAAATAGCTCTTGATCTAGAGTATTATAATTTAGCTTAATATCAGAGAACTTACAGAACCAGAATACAACTAAATAAAATATATTCTTAATATTAGATTAGAATAAAATATTACTTATTTTTTTTTTTGATATATCAGTTTCTAAACGGCGGGATTTTATAGGATTAAAATATATTAATAAAAATATTTATTAAAAAACAGTAATAAAACGGCGGAAAGTAGTTTATTTAATTAAGATTAGATAAATCTTCTCTGACTTCCGCCTGTTAATTATTTTATAAAGCAAAGAAGTAAGAGATAAGATAATATAAGAATAGTCTTAAATAAATTATTAATAAAAATTACAGAATCCAAGAAAAATCTAGATATTATAATAATTTTCGGGAATCAGCTATAAAATAATATTATTTATTTGTTAAGAATTTATAAATACTCTGTCAGAGTTAATAATATATTTCAGGAATTTAACTTGAGATTAATAGAATAAATATTTTAATAATTTTATATAGAACTGAGCTTCTTGAAGCCTCTTTAAAACTTAATAAATATACTTTGTATAAGATTTCTTATCTGATAAAAAGATAAGAATATTATTCAGATATACTATATAAAAGTTATTAAGAAGTTCTCAAAGCACAGTATATATATAGTTTTAGAAAGTTGCTGGAGTATTAGTTAATCTAAATAATATAATTATATATTTAAAATAATTATATCAAGTGCAAAATACTGTCTTCTATTTATTATCTTTCTTAATGCGGATTTGATAGTATATATTCTTGATATTAATCTTTGAAAAGTAGATACTTCTTGAAACCCTGTCAAGAATCTCTGAAATAAAAGATAAAAGATAGTGATTCTTAATAGAAATCTTATTAAGATCTCTGTAGTCTACGCAAAGATATAAGCTATTATTTTTTTTAAATATAAAGAGAATAGAAGCTTCAGCAGGGCTCTTTGAAAATCAAATTTGATCTAGTTTCAGATTCTCTTTAATATATTCTTGTAGGATCTTGAGTTTGGCTTTAAATAAGAAATATATTAGACTATAAGAGAGTATTTTATTAAATTTAATATTAATAATATAATCCGCAGGGTTATGAGGAGATAGCTATTGGAAGAAATCTATAAAAAATATATCTTAAAACTGCTTAAGTTTAACAGGAATTATTTTAGAATTTAATAATAAATCGCGAGGTTTTTCTTCTGATAGTCAGATATTTTTAGAGAGCTTAATAATAGTATATACTCTTGCTGAGTTTTAAGTTGCTTTAATAAATTAAATAATAGAAAGCAGTAAAATAGATAGTATACTAAATTATTACTAGCAGTTCTATACTGATAAGATAATATATAAATTATAAAGTATAGTTATTAAAAGTAGTACAGGGCTGTCTTTTAGTTGAGAGTCTTAATTAATCTTTATATAATATTATTCAAAAATATAGGTGCCTCCTCGCGAATCAATAGTGGTAATAGGGACTTTCTATATATTATAAATAGGAGTAGTAATTTAATTAATAGCTTTAATCTTTGGCGCAGTAATTAGAGTATATTGAAGATTATAAACTTTGGCAAACTGATAACTAATAATATCTACTTCGGCGCAGCTATTCAGATCCGCAAAGGTTTTGAGACTGTTTTAGATATGGATAGAAATATAAAAATAATATATAATCCCTACTGTAGATAAAGAAGTTAAAATTATAGAGTCTATTCTAACTTCTCTATTTTTCTCTCTGAATCTGATAAGAATTGATAGATTTTAATAAATTAAATTCTTTTATCTTTGATAGAGTGTCGATTCGCAAGATATTGGGTATTTTTATATATAAAGTATTATAATTGATTATTATTCTTTCTGATAAGATTTTTTCTGCGATTTGGGATATCTTTCTTAATAGTTTTACTAGTAGTTTCTTGGAAGCGCTTGTGTGATTTATAATTACTGAATTAATTATTATTTTGCTTGTGTTTTTCTCTATTTTTTTATAATTTATAATAGTAAGTAATAATAGCTATTATTTTATTCTGCTTCTCTGATAAATAGAGAATATGCTCTTGAATATAATAATTTAAATCTAGTAATAGCTTAGCAAAGTAGAATAAAACTTTTTTCTTTTTTGCTTGATAAGAAAAGTGTTGCTTTAAGATATTAAGATAAGTATAGAACTCTCGCGGATCCTGGTTATATTACTGGTGAGTCTGTTTAAATTAGACTATAATATTTAATTAAAGAA